ATCCGAAGTCGCGAAGCTCATGAGGTGGCCATGAACAAGCTCCGTCAAGAGATGACAGCTGCCGCCGACCTCAAGTTCCAAGAAGGCATTGACGCCGGTAAAAAGGCGGTGGCTGAATCCGACAAAGCAATGAGTGCAGATGCGGTGACCGAGTGGGATCTGGAGCTGAATGCCGCACTAACGGTACGCTGGGTAATTGATAGAGTGGAGAACGGTATCTACAGCATCGATGAACTGCGTATTTTTCTTCTGCACAAGATGGAGAAATATCGCCTCAATCCTGAGATAAAAAATGCTCATATTCCGGCGGATAAAGATGAACGAGATTTCACCGACCGACTCCTAAAACAGAAGGAGAGCCGGATGCTGGAATTAGACATGGTGCCGCTATCGGAAGAGCGCAGAGCCAAGATCCGCCGGGCCTTTATCAACATGGTGCTTGAAGTTGAGAAGGTTAAAAAACCCGATTTAGCGAACATGTGCGTTGAGACGATTGCTGAGGCGTTCGTCATTGAAACTTTGGAGGGCCTATCTGATGAAGACTTAATGGAGGCAATTATGGGCTTTGCCTCGAGAAAAGTGGCCGCGGATGACGCCAAAGCAAAAGGGTGGCTAACCGAACTGATCCCCTCCGATGACGACCGAGTCTTACACGAGGACGACGATGTCGTTATTATAAAAGAAAGTGACGTCGTTCGTGCTATGGAAGAGAAGGAGGAAGAGGTGATGCAACGCCTGGGCGAGAGATTGATAACCCATCTGGAGGCAACGGAGAAGAGCCAAACTGAGGTAGGAAACTCCCAGTCTTCTATAGTCGGAGAGGCTTCGTCATCGGGGACCAAAAAGAATGAATAGTCTGCCTATTTCTTTTTCTTTCTTTTTTTTTTATTGTATGTAATGACAATTTCTTTTAATGAATGAATTTCAATATTTTTTTGAATGAAATATTAATGTTTGATGATTATGATATTCTTTATGAATGCTTCGATGTGACTCATTATTGTAACAAGTCAAAAGATGTCGGAACAAGAGAATAAGCCTTTGTCAGACTAAAGGTCCCGACATAATATTAGTGTACTAATTTATACAAGTTACTGATGTCGGTGTAATCTTACAGTATTTCCGACATCGATAACCTTATCAGAACAAGTTATAACAAACTTGTTTTTATGGGAAACATTTATCGCGTAAGTCCTTGAATGTCTCAAAGAACTTAAGAATTTTATTGTTAGTTGATCAAATCAACGTCAGGATTTGATATCAAATTTTTGGTTAAATTCTTAGTGTCGGCAGAATTTATGGTTTGCCCGACATCCGCAAACTCTTTATCGGAACAAGTCATAAAAGACTTGCTTTTCACTGTAAACATTTATTGTGAGCTCATCAAATCAACGTCGGGATTTGATATTATAGAGCATAAGCCTCCCCAAACCATCTTCAGGGCTTGGAAGTATCCGGCTTTTTTGCGTTTGGCTAGGTCATACCATCTTCAGGGTATGAAACACGTTTAGCCTTAGCAACTAGGACCGATTTATTGTGGTCCGAGTGATCGAACAAATTATAGAGGTTCGTCACGCAAATTTTATTGATAGCAAAACATGGTTCTTGTATAGGAGTAGGACAAAAACTTTTTTACATGTCAGGGACAGGACCTTGGCCATCAGATTTACTGGTAGTATTTCTTCAGATATGTCGTGTGCCAGGGATATTGAAGGGGAACACCGTCTAACGTCTCAGGTCGGTAGGTGCCATTAGAAATCAGACGATTTACTTTAAAGGGTCCTTCCCACTTCGGTTGTAACGGGCCGACATTGGCCCCGGTGACTCTTTTCAGGACAAGGTCTCCTTTGACAAATGAGCGTGGCTTGAGTCTTGAATTTATGTACTTTTCACTGCGTCGTTTATAAGCGGCATTGCGAATTTCGGCGTCAGCCCGTAACTCATCGACCAAATCGAGGCTGACTTTCAAGTTTGCTGAGTTGGTTTCTTCAGAGAAGTGAGTGACCCGATATGTCGGAGAAACAAGTTCAACCGGTATCACAGCTTCAGTTCCGTAAGCTAACGAAAACGGAGTTTCTCCAGTTGAATTTCTCGTCGTCGTCCGGTAAGACCAGAGGACATAAGGCAATTCATCAGGCCATGATCCTTTTGCAGCTTCAAGTCGAGTTTTCAGGCCATTCTTGATAGTCTTGTTTACGGCTTCTATCTGTCCGTTAGCTTGTGGGTGATAAGGTGACGAGAAGAAATGCTTGATGCAGTAATCTTCACAAAAACTTTCGAATCGCTTGCCTTCAAACTGACGACCGTTGTCGGTTATAATGGAGTTTGGAATTCCAAATCGACAAACGATTGATTTCCATACAAAATCAACCATTTTCTGCTCCGTGATGGTTACAAGGGACTCGGCTTCAACCCACTTAGTGAAATAATCGGCGGCTAAAATAGCGAACCGAACTCACCCTTTCGCTGTTGGAAGTGGGCCGATCAAATCAATTCCCCATTTTGCAAACGGCCATGGGCTATATATCGACTTGAGGAGTTCAGGATGTTGGTTAACGTTAGGAGCAAATATTTGGCATTTATGGCACCGCCGCACCCAATCTGTGGTGTCTTTCCTAATGGTAGGCCAGTAGTAGCCTTGTCGGAGAATTCTGTGGGATAAAGTTTGAGCTCCCTGGTGGGTACCGCAGACTCCTTCGTGTACTTCTTGAAGGACTCGTTGAGCGTCAATCTCTGACAAACATTAAAGTAATGGAGTAGAATACCCACGTTTATATAACGTTCCTTGATCAATGGTGTAATGAGCAGCACGAACACGAAGAGCACGAGCTTCTTTCGGGTCTTCAGGTAAGGCCCCAGTTTGAAGATAGTCAATGATCGGATCCATCCACGTAGGATTTGAAGTTAATGGGACAGCGTCAACCATGACGACGTCGGTAGAGACTGTTGATGAGGTCGCCTGTTGGGTAATTTGCACGAACTCAACATTATTCAAGTCGGTCGATGAGGCTAATCGTGAAAGAGCGTCTGCCTGAATATTGGATGACCGAGGTATATGCTCCAACGTCATTTTAAACCGTGTCAGCTTCTTTTTGACGAGATCAAAATAAGGCAACAACCGTGGTTCTTTGACTTCATAAGTACCATTGATATGGCTGACTAGTAACTGAGAGTCGGAAAATATCCGGAGAGAAGAAACATTCATGGATTCGACGAAGTGTAAACCTGATAAGAGGGCCTCGTACTCGGCTTCGTTGTTGGTGGCCGGGAAGGTAAATGCCACAGAGTAGCAAAACACTTGTTGATCAGGACTAACTAAGACAATCCCTCCTCCAGCTCGTACAGTAGTGGACGATCCGTCAATGTAGAGAGTCCATGTCGGATCTTCAATGGGTGCGTTGACAGTAGGAGTAAATTCAGCAATAAAATCAGACAGCACTTGAGCTTTGATGGCAGTTCGTGGTCGGTACTGAACATCAAACTGTCCCAACTCTATCGCCCATTTAATCATTCTTCCCGACGTGTCAGGTCGGTGAAGGACTTGTCGGAGAGGGTATGTCGTAAACACAACAATTGAATGCTCCAAAAAATATGGGCGCAACTTCCGTGCAGCGATGATTAGAGCGTAGGCCAACTTCTCCATATGCGGATATCGCAATTCAGCGTCATGTAAAGCCTTGCTAACATAATACACCGGAAACTGTTGAAGCCCATCTTGTCGTAGGAGAACAACACTAACAGCAACGTCACTTACACCAAGGTACAAATAGAGAGGTTCATCAGGAAGTGGTTTCTGCAACGTCGGCAACCGTGAGAGAACTTGTTTAATGTTGTCAAAAGCATTCTGGCATTCCATGGTCCATTCAAACGGTTTCTTCTTTTTGATAGCATCAAAGAACGGCTTGCAATGATCCGTAGACTTTGAAATGAACCGATTAAGGGCTGCCAGTCGACCAGTTAAAGCTTGGACACCTTTGAGAGATGTCGGGGGAGCTAGGTCAAGTATGGCTTGAATCTTGGCGGGATTGGCTTCGATCCCTCTCTGACTCACCATGTATCCTAGAAACTTCCCTGATCCAACTCCGAAAGTACACTTCTTGGGGTTAAGCACCATGGAATATTCTCGGAGTATATCGAAGACTTCAGAGAGATGGGCGATGTGGTCAGAGGCCTGTTCCGACTTCACTAACATGTCGTCTACATAAACTTCCATTGTATGGCTGATTAAGCGAGCAAACATCTTATTGACCAATCTCTGATACGTGGCCCCTGCATTCTTCAATCCGAAAGTCATCATGACATAGCAGTAAAGGCCTCGAGCTGAATAGAACGAGGTATGTTCAGCGTCATCAGGGTGCATGGGAATCTGATTATATCCTGAATAGGCATCCAGAAAACTCATAAGTTGGTGTCCCGACGTAGCATCTACCATGTAATCTATGTGTGGAATGGGATAGTTCGGGCATGCTTGATTCAAGTCTGAAAAATCTATACACAGACGCCAAAGGCCGGTGGCTTTCTTGACCAAAACAGGATTTGATATCCACGTCGGGTACTTGGCTTCTTTGACAAATTTATTATCTATGAGCTTGTTTACTTCCTCTTCAAGGGCCTTCTGGCGATCTGGGCCGAATTTCCGACGTTTCTGAATAACGGGTTTGACAGTTTTGTCCAAATTCAAGCGATGGCATGCTTTTTGCGGGTCAATCCCTTTCATATCTTCATGCTTCCAGGCGAACACATCAGAGTTCGACTAGAGAAACTGAATCAGATTTGATCGAATGGGTTCTTGCAGGTTGACCCCAATGCGCAGCGATTTCTGCTGAGCCGATCCGTCCACGTAAATGGTTTCGATATCTTCAACTGGTTCCGCTCGGACATGATGACCTCAATCTTTGAACTGCATCCGTGGATCCATATCTTCATGCATTTCTGCATCTTTCTCACGAAAAGGTGATTCTTGATTGAGGACTTCAGTTAATGTTTCAGGAAGAACTAACGTCGTGACATGTCGGGGTGAATCTTCTTGTGACTTCTGTCGCGTTTCAAGTTCAGCCAAACGTTTACGGAGAGTTTCAATTTCCTCCGCACTATGTCTTGAAAGACGATTCCGTTCAATTTGGCGTCGCAAATCTTCGCGAACATGAGGTGCTGACGAAATGGGCCTGGGACGTGGCAAATTCTCTGGTGATAGGCAGAATGACTTTCAGCAGTCATCTCCTGTACAGGGGGCTGATTCGGAACTTGATTGTTCGTTACAGGATTAGCAATTATATGAGCCTGCTCTTCTTGACGTGGAGAAGTATGATGAGGCTGCGACGTAGCATGTGATGTCGCTACATGTGTTTCATGGTCATGATGAGTGTGGGCTGGATGTTCTGTTGGGTTAGTAGTTAACGGCATCGACAGCGGTACCGTACTCGAGTTCCTGGGCATGGCTCTAGCTATAAACTCCGGATTTTGAAGAAAGTTCGTGGCATTCGTGACCGGAGGAGGTGGTGTTGCACGCCGTGGGGAATGGTTAGTCGATTGGCTCTGGCCAGGGTGAGTCACGTGGTCTCGACCAGACTGCGACATGATGGTTTTGAGCGTGAAGATGACTTAAAGGCGAAAGTTGACTTAAAACTATGCGGCCCTCCTTCTAGCGCCAAACTGTTGTCAAATTAAAATTAACAACGATCTAATTGAAGTAGATTTGAAGTAAACTCAGCATACATTGACAGGAACTTGCATATTTTAAAAGAAGATGGAATTTCTTGGTGAATATTGTTATTGTACGTCTGTCTCTGGAGAAACGTTTTTTTCTCCTTTTATATTTATGTACAATATATATCCGTATAGCAATCATTACATTTGAAAGGTCAAAGGCGGCTCCTAGCCACTTCTCTTGATAGCTCGCCACTTGGACAAACGTAATGATGATTTATGCTGAGTTGTCGCCGCCTTACAGTGCTGAGATGGCACATTATAGATATCGGTTCATCCAGTTATAACCAATATGTTGTATCCGACATGTAGCGACCAACATGTGATGACCGACATGAGGTTTCGGTCAAGTAATGGAGATGTCAGTTCTTGCTGAATCTCTCGTCATGCAGTCGTCTTGAAGTCGGTGGAAACATCACGTACTTGCATGAATTTTAATTATCCTCATACTGACCTTAATCGGCTGATCAATGTCACTTAATTCTGTTTACTGAAAATGATATCAACACGACCTCAGTGGCAGGTCGAGGAATTCGAGCACAGGCCATCATGCACAATCTGGAAAGGGAGGTCAAATACACTGAATATTTCCTATTATTATCTCGTTCGATGTAATTATACAATTGAGGACACTAACGAAAATGATCGATTACTATCCTATCTTGTTGTATCTGGTGTTTTTCCTTCGACCTCAGTGGCAGGTCATCCGAGTGAAGAAAAAAGTTCCTCATTTTCGGAACATCCCTGATCCTACGATAGGGGTGGGCGAGGGTCGTTTGTTTTCGGAACACTCCTCGGGGTGGGCAGGTGGTCTCAAAAGTCCATGCCTCAAGGCTGGATGACCACCATGTTTTTGGAACACCCCCTGGGGTGGGCAAGCGAGAAAACCAAAGTCCCTCGTTTTCGGAACATCCCTGATCCTACGATAGGGGTGGGCGAGGGTCGCTTTTTTCGGAACACTCCTCGGGGTGGGCAGGTAGTCTCAAGATTCCATGCCTCGAGGCTGGACGACCACCATGTTTTTGGAACATCCCCTGGGGTGGGCAAGCGAGAAGACCAAAGTCCCTCGTTTTCGGAACACCCCTAATTCTGCGATAGGGGTGGGCGAGGGTCGCTCGTTTTTGGAACACCCCGCTCAAGGAGTGGGCGAGTGAGAAGACCAAAGTCCCTCGTACGGATAGCTCGAGCAGGTTAATGGATTCATTGATTTGATTTTGTGGTACTGTTTTTCTAACCCCAAGGATAGATTGATCAAACTAGCTACAGATAGCTCGAGCAGGTTAACAGATTCAGTGGATTTGGTTTTGTGGTATTCTGTTTTTAACCCCAATGGCAGGTCGATAATATGCATAACTGCTCGAGCAGTTGATTGCATTTCACTTGATTCAAGTTTTGTTGCATTTCACTCGATTGGATTTGGTTTTGTGGTACTTGTGACTTTTTGTCGATGAGCTTTATTTGACTCTGGATGAGCTTTATTTGACTCTGGTTTCGTCGAATCGATTTTTTGACTGCAAGGGAAGGTTGATGGTTTGATCAGATGATATTCATTGTTTCTCGAGCAGGTTAATGGTTTGCTTGATTCTGGTTTGGTTGTTTGTTGATTCTAATTTGTCGAATTTGTCTTTTTCGACCTCTTTGGCGGGTCGAATATATTCATTTTGCTCGAGCAGGTTGTTTGTGGATTCTGGTTTGGTTGTTTGTTGATTTTGGTTTGTCGAATTTGTCTTTTTCGACCTCTTTGGCGAGTCGAATATATTCATTTTGCTCGAGCAGGTTGTTTATGGATTCTGGTTTGGTTGTTTGTTGATTCTGGTTTGTCGAATTTGTCTTTTTCGACCTCTTTGGCGGGTTGAGTATATTCATTTTGCTCGAGCAGGTTGTCTGTGGATTCTGGTTTGGTTGTTTGTTTATTCTGGTTTTTCGAATTTGTTTCTTGACCTCAGTGGCGGGTCGAGTATATTCAGTATGGCTCGAGCAGATGGGTTGTTGGATCTGGTTTATCAAATTTATTTTTCGACCTTAGTGGCGGGTCGAGTATATTCACTATGGCTCGAGCAGGGCAGGTAGATGGGATTTATTACGGCACAAGCACGTTGATGGTTTTTGCTTGGTTTGGTCTTGTCGAATTTATTTTTCGACCTCGGTGGAAGGTCGAGGAGTTCATTCAGAGCAATCCACGAAATCAGGTTGTTTGGGTTTTGAGGGGATATACAACATGCTTGAATTTTAAATTTTGAACTGAGGGGCGATAGGAAGGGGTGGTCTAAGAGAGCTCGAACAGGATGATCGAAACACAACAGACATAAGTTCAAATTTTCGAATTCAAGATTGCAGGAGTGGTCATTCAGTTCTTGTTTTTCGACCTCATCGACAGTTTTTCAATTTTCGGTTCTCGACCTCAGTGATATCTCGACTCTCTGCTTTCGACCTCAACGGTCTCTTGATTCTCAGCTTTCGACCTCAACGGTGTTTCAGCTCTCGGTTTTCGAACTCAACGGTCTTTTAGCTCTCGGTTTTCGACCTCAATGGTCTTTTTGCTCTCAGTTTTCGACCTTAATGGTCTCGACTCTTGGTTTTCGACCTCAGCAGCCTCGACTCTCGGTTTTCGACCTCAACGGTCTCTCGACTCTCGAGTTTTTGACCTCAGCAGTCTCGACTCTCAGTTTTCGACCTCAACGGTCTCGACTCTCAGCTTTCGACCTCAACGGTCTCTCGATTCTCAGCTTTCGACCTCAATGGTCTCAACTCTTGGTTTTCGACCTCAGCGATCTCGACTCTCGGTTTTCGACCTCAATGGTCTCTCGATTCTCGATTTTTGGTTTTCGGCCTCCAGGTCACTCGATGTTCGACCTCAACAGTAGATCATTCAGTTTTTCGACCTCAGTTGACGTTCGACATCCGGCATTGGACCTCGGTGGTATGTCATTTGGTTCTTGTCTTATCGATAAATCTTTCGGTTTTCGACCCCGGCGTATGATCATTCGGTTTTCGACCCCGGCGTCTGATCATTCGGTTTTCGACCTTCGTGGTCCTTCGGTTTTTGATCTTTAAATCTCAATGCTCATTGGGAGGATATTTCAGTGGTTATTCCATGGTCATTCGACTTTCGGTGCTCGATCTTTGTAGCGAGTTAAAGAAAACAGCTCGAAGAGGCATTTCACTCTTGGATCGAGTTATGCTTACTCGACCAGAGTGGGGGGACTAGATGATATAGGATATTATACTAGACCGAGTTTAATGGCTACAACGAATACATATCGGAAGATAAGCCCGCGTATGGCTTAAGACATTTAGCATAACGATATGGGCCAAGCCCACCTTGAGCCCAAAAGGTACACTCCCTCTATAAAAGGGGGCTAAGGTATGGCATTATCCCATTCTCTATTCACTCATTTTACCATATTCTCTCTACACATTCCATTACTACACTTTATCTCTCTTGATTTGAGCACTGACTTAGGCATCGGAGGCCCGACGCCGGGGCCACCCCCAGCATTGGGTTTTGCAGGTGCAGAGGCCGTTTGAGTTGAAGGAGCCTGGGTGAAACTTATTCACTTCAGACCGAAACATGATGGCCAGATCAAAATGGAATTGATAGAATCTGCAAAACGGAGCTTTTACAACATACCTCTAACAATCTCCCACTTATGCTTAATAAGCTCATGGCTATTGCTAACCACGATTCTCTTTCAATCTTAATTCTCAAAGAACCGTTGTCCTTTCTGCCATACATCCGACTCCCAATCCTTTAACATGGCCCTCATCCGCTTTCGCCGGAAAGCCAATCCTAAAAGGATTTACCTGGTTGTCTACTGATGTAACTAGGCGACAAACATCCACCTTGTCGCAGTCCTTTGCAACGGGTCTACTTGCTCTATGTGTCACTTGCTTTATGAACTAGTGATTCCTCTCTGTCTGTAACTGCACCAACTGTCATCACAATCAAATTGTGACCTGACCTGGCTAGATGAGGTTTCACGTCTTTAGTTCAATGGCAAATCCAATCTCTATGTCGCTCGCCATTTGGGAAGGGACATACTGAGTTCATAGTGGAATCCGTCAACGCATCACCGCTTGACATTCCTCTAATCTGCTTGGTTCCCACAAGTGAACACAAACAATAAGGTGGTTTTTACTTGTTCTTCATGTCTGATTAGAAATCAGAATCCTTTGTAATCCATAGGTTGCTTCTGGTTCATGTGGTAACCCTACATATTATTCTTAGCCCTTTTGTGGCGCTTGATCATATGTTCTACCATGAACCATTGCTTCCATCAAGGACTACTTCGATATTTACCAACTAAACTCTCAGTAATAAATATCAAGTCTCATTTATTGCATATACTAGGCTTCCTATTGCCATGCATAAGGACTGCCAGATATCATGAAAAAATAGAATGAGCCTTACAATAGTTTGGACATGAAAAGTGGGATAATCGCAACATATCTTTCTTGTGATCCTCAATCTCAAGAATATATGTTGATTCCAAATCTTTCATGTACCACTACTTGGATAATCATACCCTTGCGTTTGTCAACATTTTCACACTGTCTCCAGTGATCAAGATGTTGTCTACGCATAGTACAAAAATACCACCACGCTTCCGCTGCGCCACACACAATACTGATTTTGTGAATAATCAAATCCACGATTCAAACTTATCAACCAAATGATCGGCCCACCATGGTCCTTTAAATGGACTTTGTCAGCCTATTGACAAAATGTTCTTTAGCCCTTTTCAATGAAAACTTCTGGGTGCTGCCCCGTGGATATTCCTACAAGACTTTCGGTTAAGGAAAATGTCTTGACAACCACTTTGCCTAACTCATAACTCATATGAATGGCATCAGCTTTAAATTAGGCAACCGATGAAATAATTAACTCATAATAGATCTCATTCTTTATGAGTTCACCATTTCACATCAAGCCTTTCTATGTACAGACTTAAACACGGCTACTGGTGAAAAACTAACTCATAATAGATCCCTTTCTTTCTGAGTCTGCTATTTCACAACAAACCTTATACTAAAGTCTTCACTTATAGATTTTGTCCAATAGCAAGTTTGCTACTTGGTAATTCTATAAGAACCCAGATCTGATAAGAGTCCATGACCCTAAATCAGAAATCATTAAAACTTTGCTAAGTTTATGCATCATTGTCTTGGATCTCCTCATTGTATAACTAGGGATTGATTCAAGTTTACTAGAGACTAAGTCCGAGACTGAGTCTAACGACTCTCTTATTATCACGAATGGAGTTGTCTTGCAACCCTCCCACTACAACGAGGTTCCCTCTGCAAAGGTGTATAGCACAAAATACGTGTTGCAGTTTTTCCTTGTGGTATCACATTTGTACACTTGGTAATAAAGTTGAACTTTTACCTTTATCTTTCTATAAAACAATTCTACAAATGAACTTAGCGATTTATTACTTCGTATTTCTCTAAAAATCATACATTCGCGCTAACGAACATATTCTGACTTTTAGTACTATACTAATCCACTCATTTCTCGTTACAATGAAGTATCCCACAAATAGCCTAATTTCTGAACATCCTTTCCAATCCTATTAGTATCAACTTTCCAGCACGTGTGCTGAAATGCTCTGAATCTGAATATGTTCCTGTCAAGGCCTAAGTCTTGTCAACAATTCATTCAAAGTAATGACTACTAAACTTAGATAGGATTATGTTCGGAACTTATCTTGCTATTTGCACAACTCCCATACGAAAAAGCAAAATTCCGAAAAACTCATTATTGACACAACCAATCTTCTAGAGAGACATTTTCCTTCGGTCTATTGCATTGTCCTGTTCCAATGAACCAGGTGAAACACATTGAGATCAAATCTGAACATCCAATAAGTATTCTATGATTTTCCAAAAGGTATTAGTCACTACGATTTCAATTGTAATGCCACTGATACATTAAACTCGACATCTTTCCATAACTGCCATTGCACTCTTTCGATGCACTCAAACTTATGGAATGTCACTTAATGTACCCTGTTTTGAAAAAATTTCTCCGAAGAAAAATAATCAAAACTACCTTTCGTCCTAAAATCATAGAACTTTATAAATTGGATGAACCAACAATAACATTTATTTGGCTTCTAACACTCGACCTTCAAAAGGTCATTTTTGTGATTTTAGCTACCAAGTATAATTCGTATGTCTGATAGTTTCATCCATTCCCAAAGAACCCATGAGTTTAATGGTTATCCATCTTTGAATTCTACTAATACTAAAATCCCAAATACTAGATGTCAAATTAATGTAATGATTCATTTATTGAAGGACCTTTCTTCTTATTGGTTCTAGTCGACGTGTTACTAATTTCACCTACTGCACTTTGAGACATATTGGTTCACTGAGCATATCGTCTACCTACGTACCAAATAGATAAAACATCACGTTTTCATCCATACACAATTTAGAAACTGAATATGAGCTTTCTAAAACTTGGCACGAAAAGACAATTACTCGATTAACCAAAAATTCTACTTAATAGATAACTCCCACTGCAATAGTTGCTACTTCCGTAGCTAGCCCATTCTAGATGGTAATCTAACCTTCACATGTCGATTGGTTCACTGAAACCTTTTTACATAATTAGTGGTTACGTATCTATATACTAGGCACCGATAGATAACACCACTTAAAATGCTTCGACTTCTCAGTGAATAAGATTTACCTTTCTTGTATTAAGGATAGGACAATTCATCTTTCTATGTCTATTTCGCTTAGACCAGATACACATGCCATTCGGCTTGTATTCTTCAGCAAAACAATACACTATCCAAGTTCTATTTCTAATCATGTTTGAACAAGTAAATTATCTTTGAGTATTACGGACAACGGATTGAAAAGACATTTTGAATTCCTGGGATCATGCAAACGTAGTCTTTACTCAGTCAAGTGTTTTCGAATCATCAAATATTGATCCCTTCAAAACAACATTTGAATATATTTACCGGCACCTCAAAACACCG